CACCAGAAGGAGGTGGGGTTTTTTGGCAAGTTTAAAGGTAACCTTACGAGCAAAGAATAATTTGCATGCCACAAAAGCTTAACATCTAACATTATGCATAGACTGCCCTTTCTCACCTCTCTCACTGCTCGTTCAGACTCACCAACATATTTATTCATCAACTCAGGCCCCTGCAAAACATAAAATTTAAAAAAAAAACTTAAAAAGCAGATCACATTTACACACAAAGTGACTGAGACGATCTGCTGGTACTATCAGTGTTTACCAGTGCTTCTTTGAGCAGTTTGCTGATCCAGAAGGAAGCAGCTGCTGCAGCAGCACACCTGAAACCCATCCACAAGGCACTCCATCCCCAGTGAGAAAGCTGTTCAGTGTCTTAGCTCATTCACATTCCTTCTCCTCTGCCGAGACTGCCAAGCAGGATTATTAGTGCCAGCTGCTGCAGTACCTGTTTATACTCACAGCCCTGTCCACCAGGAACACACTGGAGACCACAGGGTCAACGTTCAAGTCTTGAACAAGTACTTACAATTATAAAAGGTAAAACAATGGAGAATTCTCAGAGTATTTTCTGTTCTGCTATATCCTGTAGGATAGGCTGCTTAAATAATGCTTCCTAATGGGCCTCAGATTCTCCTGGGATTGGTAATGACTCATTGACTTCAGCCTGGTTTGCATCAACATTGACCTGCAGCTACAATCGATGATGATTATCCACTGCCCCAACCAAAGGAGCCAGTGGGTTCAATTCATTTTCCAGGGAACAGGTGTCCTTGAAATTTCACCAGCAGAAACAACATCCTTCACAGTCAGAAAACTGAACCACCTTCCTGTGCTTCACAGCTGTGAGCACCTTCAGGTAACACTCAGCCCAGAGCAGTGAGGCAGCTTGAAACCAAGGGTATGGTGGAAGTATGAAGGAGTGGCAGACACACATTTATAAATTGGCCGTGACAGAGGCTCTGTTACAACCCCTCTTTGAATGGGACCATCTGGACCTTTTTCCCAGGTAGTGGAATACAGATTCATTACCCTAAAAAAGCAGCACACTGTTTTTTGCACTCTCCCTTCTCTACATTAATTTTCACTCCTGCACAAACAGTTAATGCATTGACTTTACCTTGACACTGACACAAATTATGTGATACCAGCAGAGCACCCAGGCAAAGCCACTACTTTTATGTATTTATTTTCAAAGAGTTGTCTGTAATCCAAAGGACCAGGTGAGACACTGTCAGACCTGAGGTACCACACAGGTAAAAGCCATTTTGTAATGGCTGAAAGAGCAGCACATCATGTCTTGCCCATAGGAAAGGGAAATGATACAATTAGCATTGCTTCCTTTCAGCAACACCCACCCTTAAAGAAACTGCTGTGGTAGCTGAAGTGTCACCTGGAGGCCTTCAACAACTGCAGCACTGATGTCTGTGGGATACTTGTGTGCAAACAGAATTATTGAGACTTAACTGAAGAATGTGGAAAACAGAAGTTAAGACCAAGGTGTGAGAGAGAAACACAAAGCCTTTTCCTACTATTGCCTGTGGACACCGAACATGGAGTGTGCAGCAGTCAGTGAGGAGCAGGCTTGCAGCTCAGGAGACAGCACCCAGCTGCTCTGGGCCCTCACCATCCAGCATGGTCAGTGCAGATGAGGAATCCGATAGCGTGGCCCTGACAAATCCTTAAGGAACAAGAGTGCAGTCTTCTCTTTCTGTCCTGTTAAACTCTGCAAAACTGAGCTGATACACTGATAAGCTGCTGCAGATTCTACCCACAATTACAGACTCCTTCTGCTAACTTCTACTTGGAGCCTGTGGACCTTCTCTTTCATGCCCTTATTCCCATAAGGAATTAGTATTCTCATGGAAACCATCACATACATCTGTGCCAATGCCTCTTGTATGACACAACATCAAACAGCCTGACATTTTATTTTCTTTTGTCTGAGGAAAAAAAAGCACCTTAAAACCAAAAAATACTCTATTTGAGCTTTAAGGTAAAATATAATTTCAGATGCTTGGAGTTTTATTTTTAATTAAACATTAAAATTTAATGTAGGCAACATCAAAGCCATAAATACTGTTTAAAATGTTTCCAAAAAAGAATTATTTGAATGCATGATTTTGCTGTAAGCTTGACATGAAGTTTTTTCTCCATTTTTCTCTTCATTAAGCAACAGCTCCAGGGGAAACACCCCGATGTGTTAATGACCTGTGCCACTTCGTGGAGAATTTTCATGAAAATTGATTTGAAGGTCTCCTAGTTCACCACTCCTGAGCAACACCAGAACTGCATTGGGAGCCATGGTTTTTATTGTCAGCAGCTTAGAATTCTTCTTACACATGGCACTAAGGGAAAAGACTCCAAAGTGAGAGAAAGCACATACAGAAGAGGAGTTGGTATACAATTCATCTCATGCAAACACTGAAAACCACAACACAATAACTAGGAATGTTCAAAGCAGCTGAATGTAGCACCTGAACTGGGTTAGCTCTGGTCCCACCTGAGCTAAGCCTTTGCCTTACCCTGTCCAACCACAATGTGCTTTGGCTCAGACTGATGGGAGTTCTTTTTTGAACAATAAATCTGTATAAAAAGTAGTCTGCAGGCCACCACAGAGTCACCTGCTGGCAGCTGACATGATTTCTGATTTTCACAAAGCTCACCTTCTCATTCTAGCAAGGTTGCTCTGAAGTTGGAGGCCACTCAAGAAACACCATGAGGGGTTTTTAATTTTATTTTTCAGTGCTTTTCTAATGCTTTTAAAATCAAATGACAAGAGTTCAATCTAATCAGCAAGTCGACATTTGTGGAAACATCATTCTGGGCCCAGAGGGGAGCAGAAGATTCCTTTAAGAGCTGTGTATAGCTGTTGATATACAGGCCAAGAGATGCTAGTAACAACTGGGCCCGTTCAGTGATGCACATCTTTGTTCTCTTCTGCAACAAGTCATCTTCCATATGAATGGACATGAAGAAATAAAACCTGTTTCTTCTGGTCATTTGCACAGTGACTCCAAAACCAGCAAAAGATTTGGAGCAGAAAATTGGCAGAAGTGGTTGTAGCTTAGCCATGCACATAAACACACCATTTGTGAGCACGAGTCCAGACTGACACTACAAAATCTGCCAATTCAGACCCACTGAATACCACTGAGGTTTTTTTATTCAGCCTTAAAGCAGAGATGATTTCCAGGCATGCTCTGTTTAAAGACTATCCCATCCCCACTTAGAAGATATATCCCCCGAAACCTTCTACTTGGTTATGGTCTTGATTGGGTGAATTTAACTTTCTTTTAATTTAAAAAAAAAAGCAAGGAAAGAAACAAAAATTCCTTACATTTAAAATATTATCAGAATTAAATCATTAAAGATTAACTGCACAAAGACAAAACCCCCGTATACAGGCTGCAACATGAGGTGAGCTTGTGTACATATGGCTATGACACAAGATCCCAGTGTTTTTAAACAGCAAGAGGAACATCTGCTCTCTCTGAAGTTTAAGAGCATCAGTAATTTTCCTAAGCAGTGTTTAAAACCACTTGCAGATTTTTTTCCACCTGAAAATATTTGGTAGCAGTTGGTGCCTTCCCTTAAATAATTTTTTTTTACTCTTTTAACACTCAGGCAAGTTATGCACTTCTGCTTGTTGAACCAAATGGGCACAGCTCCAGATTCCTGCAGCACACAGCTCTGCCCAGCCTCTTCAGAAACACTGGGATAACCTCACATGCAGGTTCTGGGCTCTAACACAGACACATTAAACTATGTCAGCCATAGAGTACAATTCCTGCTTTTTGAAAACCCAGTTAATTAGACAGTTTATATCACATCCTTTAGATTATTACTACTAGATAATGCAGAATTCCTTCTTTGCCACATTAGAAGTAGAAATGATCAGATATTAAAATGCCAGTCATAAGTAATATTGAATTTCAATAGAAACTGAGCCCTGTACTGTGAATCTCATATGGCAAAGGAAAAAAATAGACACAGGGGTTGCCAAAATAATTTTTCAACTGTTCACAGTGTGTCCCTAGGGCAATGCTCAATGACCACACTCACACATCTGCATCTGACTTAGACATTCACACTAACTGATTTGGGCAGACAGATGTTTACCTCTCAGGTGCAATGCAGTTCACTTGATGTGCTGATTTCTCATCAGACTGCAGAAGGAGCACAGACACCCAGTTCAGAGAAGTGAAGCTTGATCTCACCCCACTAGTACATCCTTCATGGAGTTAAAATCACCATTTTGGCCCTTCCCCCCCACCTTTTTGTTAAATTCCAGTCCCACCACAATGCAGGTGAGATAGTCATGGAACCATACAATGGCCTGGATTGGAAGGGACCTTAAAGATCATCTAGTTCCAAACCCCTGCTGTGGACAGGGACACCTTTCACTAGACCAGATTGCTCAGAGCTCCATCCAGCCTGGCCTTGAACACTTCCAAGGATGGGGCACCCACAACTTGTCTGAGCAACCAACCTGTGCCAGTGCCTCACCACCCTCACAGTCAAGATTTTTTTCCTAATATCTAATCTAAACCTACTGTCTTTGAGTTTGAAGCCATTCCTCCTTGTCCTGTTGCTACATGCACTTGTAAATAGTCTCCAGCTTTCTTGTAGGCTCCCTTCAGGTTCTGGAAGACTGCAATTAGGTCACCCATAAGCCTTCTGTCCTCCAGGCTAAACAATTCCAATTGTCTTAGCCTTATGCTCTACTATAACAACATTAACTGATTTGGAAGAGACCCAGAAATTAGTTACTTAGTCTTTTGGTACTGTAATCTCAATGGCAAAATGCTATCCCATCCCTAGCACAGTCAAAGCAAAGCAACACACGACTCAGGCTGGGTGCAAGGAAGCCAGTTAACAATATTAAACAGTGAGACTTCCTCTATGTTAACAGTAAGGCTCTTTCTAACGCAAAGGTTGTCCATGTGTGATTTGGTAATTGGCTACACTGCAGAGAAAAATATTTGCTGAGAAAACGCATTGTATTTGCTTGTTAAGAATGAAGCCTACTTCTCTTGCAGAGCTGTTTAAAGCTTTCATCTGCATCACTCCCAGCTTCCCAGCACAAGGGAAACCCAGGCTCAGCACTGTGCACCATTGAATCACTTCCTCTCCCACTGCACTGCATTCCAGAGGACCTTAAAAACCT